GCAGGGATTTCAGGCAGGGCCAGTTCCCACAGATTTAGCAAATGAAAGACACACTTAACAACCAGGAAGCAGCCAAGTTCGGCTCGTGGCTGAGGCTAAGGCCTTAAAGGCCACCGGCTCCCAACAATAGGGATGGGGCAGCCACAGCAGGGGCAGCCACAGCAAGGGCAGCTGAGGATCAGAGGTGGAAAATCCCAAGGAGAAGACAAGTCCTTGGAGGGCATTGTCAAGGGTGCTTAGATAATTGGTCCACTTCCCTCTAAGGCTGTGCTTTGGAGTCCTGGCTCTCTACCTTGGCCTCCCCATTCTCCGCCTCCTCCACACCAGGGGGAGCTTCTGAAAAAGACCGATATCTGTGCCACATGCTGACTGCATTGGTCTGGGGCATGCGGCCCGAATAGTGGGATTTCAGTAGCTGCCCGGGGTATTCTGACGTGAGGCAACCATTGAGAACGACTGGAGAGCCTTTCCTGCCCATCTACGAGAATTTCCCTGGCTCCGTGTGGGGGTGAAAGATGACGCTTCCTCTTCCTGTAAAGAGTTACAGAAGCCCACAGGGGCAGTTCTGCCTGGGCCCATAGGGTAGCCATCAACTTGATGGCAGTGAGCTTTGAGTCTATGGGTATCGGGGAGGACCCACCAATGGGTGGGTTGCCCCAGTCCACTGGGGCAAGGGGGAAGCCAGGGGCGCTCACTCTCTCCTCCTCCAGATCCTGGCGCATCTGTGCCTGGTCCTTCTCATCCAGGATGCAAGTCTTGGTCAAAGCTGGTAAAGCCAGCTGCGAGCTCCGTGATGGCATGCTCTGCATGCCCCAGGCTGAGAAAGATGAAGTAAGATGCTGATGAAGTGACTTTCGGCGTGTGGTGGCCGTGAGCTCTCTAATATGGACTCCCCACGCTCTTGCCAGACACAACGCATGAGGGTCCTGCTCTCTAGAGAAGAAGGATCACAGAGGGGCAAGCCAGCGTCTCCAAGGTTTTACCCCCAAGAGACTGCCTTGACGCCATCTCTTCTCCCCTGACTCCTGGTGATCAACCATGAGGATTACTGCAAACTCTGTTTCCTGAAACGCCTTCCAGGGGGCAGTCTCTGACCTTCAGAAATGGAATTGAGCACCCTCTTTTCCATACTTCCTCTGCTCTAGTTACTTCTCTTATCGAACTTACTTGGTGATTATGTTTACTTGCTTACATGGCTGTGAGCTACTGAAGGACCAAGACCTTGTCTCACTTAATAACGCTGTGTTCTATTCATTGCCTGATCCACGGTTGGTGCTCACAACGTATTGTTCAATGTTTGTCAATATCTATAACTGAGAGATGGAGAAACTAGACAAGGGAAGAAACCCGTGATTTTGTTTTTGTGAAGAAGCATAAAACTAACATCTGAGTTTTGTGGGAGTGAGGGTATACCCCAGGATTAGGAGACTCCATGATCATATTGGGCCAAAGAATGGTTCAACAAGATCCAGAATGTTAAATAAACTCACGGACCGGGAGTCGATTCTGCCTCACAGGGACTAACAGCACAGAACTGCCTCTGTGGGGTTTCAAGACTGTAAATCTTTACCGGAGTAGAAAGTACCATCTTTCCCCCTCAGAGTGGCTGGTGGTTTAGAACTGCTAACCTTGGGGTTATCTTCCTGGCCCGTAACCCATTACACTATGAGGGCGCCCTTGAGAGCATGTCAAAACATGTAGCATAGTCAAAGGTATGTAAGCCAAGGACATGACTCTGAAGGTCAGGATCAGAAACCTAGAGGCAAAGAAATGAATCTATAGCCAAGGTCAGAGGCACATAGGCCAATATCAGGACTTATAGACAAAGAATAGAGAGTTCAGTGTCAAGGATGTATAGGCCAAGGACAGGGAAGATTTGGGTTTGGGTTGCTTACTCCCGCAAGGTATTGGTGAAATCCTTGAACTGATCTCCTGCTCTCCGCCCTGCAAGGCCTCTTGCATGTCTGAAACCCGCTCCTTCCTCAGTCACAGCTTCATTAGGGTCTTATTGTAACCCTAGAAGGGGAAGAGAGGTGGGCAACTGCACCCAGAGACTCGTCATCATCTGTGACCCCCATCCTACCCATAGAGTGCTAGACTTCCAGGGATAATCCCAAGGCACATAAGGATATAGGGACAGACCAGGACATAGAACCTTGGTCCTGGGTTCTGATGCATATGTGCAATTTAAAGAGACTGGGCCATGACCTGTTTCAGAAGGTCGGAAAGCTGTAGTTCATCTTTCTGTCCAGCCAACTCTTCCTTGACCTCTGAATAAATGTCATTGATGGTGGCCAGGAACATGTTCTAGAGGATAAGGCAGGAATTTTGGTCCTCACCCCCAGACTGACCCCATGAATGAGCCAGACACCCATTCCACAGGGATCTCAATGCTCTCAAATCCAGCACAGCAACCCACCAGTCCCCGCCTCTCAGAGTCCCTGGAGCCCAGCCTTTCGGCATATTCCTGTTAGCGATGATTCATGCTTCCTCATCAACACAGGGTCCTTACTGTTAGCCTCTGCCATAGCATTACTGACCCCAAACATACCCCACATAGACCACAAACCCTGTTCCATATACTCAGTAAAGGCGTACATTTGTCAAGGTAAGAATACGATTGGAAAGAGAATGAATAACAGACATGTGGGTGAAGGGAGACAACAGACAGTGTAAGAGATGAAAAAATAAAAGCAATATATAATTGATCAAGGATTCGTAAGGGTGGGAGAGGAGGGAGGGAGTGGGGGAAAGAGGAGCTTATATCAAGGGCCCAAGGAGACAACGTTTTGGAAATGATGGCAACATATGTCCAAATATGCTTGATACAACCCATGTGTGGAATGTTATAAGAGCTGCAAGAACCCCCAATAAAGTGACTTTTTATAAAAAGAGTACAATTGTACCCTCTTTACCACATACCCCCTAAAGCCATCTCTCTTATCCCCAACCATCAGTTATAGTAATAAGCCTACTAGCTTTGTTCATCAAGGTCAAGCCCAGCTTTCTCAAGGTTGGCAGGCAAGGAGGGAGAACAACTGCTGAGTAGTGGTAATATAAATCAGCAAGAGCTCCCCAAGGGTAAGGGAAGTCTTGGACAATAAGGCATAGAAGCTTCCAGGTGTAGTCATTCTTTCTTCTCTTATTTTGTCTTTGAGGATTAGGGGTTTGGTTGGACTAAGGGAGCCTGCAAGTTCCCTTATACTCTGAAAATTGCCTGGTTAGGCTGGCTACTCTGGACACCTCAGATCGCTCTCAGAAGGTTAAGTTCTCCCCCTCACGCGTCATCCTTATTTTGAGAAACTTGTGAAAGTCCTGAGTAGGGGAGAAAAGGGGGTCAAAATCCCACCCCTCGGGCCCTCAAGCATGCCCGCTCTCAGAGGTACCCTCACTAGGAGCACGAAGAAGACGTAGGTTACGAAGTAGGCAGGGCCCAGGATTCGCTTGGCATTGTCGATAGCATTGAAGTCAAAGTCCCCAAGGATGATCTGGAACTGAGTGAAACTGAAAGAGCCAGGTCTGAGCTTCAGCCAGAGCCTAGCCCCTCACCCTGACCTCCACCCACACCCATCTTACTGCCCTAACTACTGCCCGTGGGTGCCTTCAGACAGACTGCACACAGCACCCCCCAACCCAGCCTGAGACGGAGCGAAGGGCACGGGGTTCTTGAGTGCACACAGCCGGGTGCCTGACCCTCTGACACAGATGACTGACACAGCCGCTCCCACAGACGCAGCTCCGGCTCCTCCAAGGATACGTCCCCGGGAGCTTCAAGCAGTCTGTGGGGAAATGGGCTTAAAAGATCATGGAATTGTCCCACAAGCTCTTTGAAGCCCCTTGGATACCTTTGGAGCTGGCAGGTGAGGCCCAAGGGAGACCGAAGGGGCTAGGACACACCCATGCACTTCATGAACACGCTAAAGCTTCCCACTTGGGTCCCAAAAAGCAGGTAGGCGCGCTGGGCATAGGCATTGGAAGAAAACGATGAAGAACACGACAGCGAAGCCCAGGATGTCCTTCACACAGCCGGCCAGGGTGGCGGAGAGCTGGGTCATAGTTTTGTTGAAGCTAATGTACTTGCATATCTGGACGCACCGGGTTGCCCCAAGCGACCAAGGAGGGAAAGAGAAAAAAACCTTTTGAGATGTCCACTCCAGAGGCCTGTGGAGGCCACAGGAGTTGCCAAAGCAAAAAGGAAGCACAGGACAAATATTGAGGAAGGGCGAATGAATGGCGGCGAGAGACGGAGCTGGGGGTAAGGAGGTCCGGGGTACCTTGATCCAGGCAAAGAAGAGGTTGACCGCATTCATGTCGTTGTCCTGCGTCTGCCAGAAGGCGAGGATCTCGAAGTCGGCCTATATGTTTGGTTGCTCTAGGAGCTTCCCCATCAGCCGATTTACCTCGAGGGTGCGCAATATGTGAAAGTCCACCGCCACAATGGACAGCTGTCAACACAGAAGGCAGGAGGTGTCCCAGAAGTCAAGGCCATGTCCAGGGAAGGTCAAAGATGAGGTTCCCGGGGTGGGGGTGGGGGGGAGCTGGAGTGGGGAATCTCCTTCTTTGTTGAGTTCTTGACTGTCCCTGGTTCCAACGGACACGGCTAGGATAATTGGGGAGCATCTGAAGTATGGTCAAGTCCAAGAGAAGATTGTGGGCCCTGTGGTAAATACGTTGACGTCACTTCTACTGGAGTCGCTGGTTGTAAAGGGCTGGAGGGAATTGGAGCCAAGGAATTTTAGCTCCCACCACCACTTCTCAGCCTCCTCCTGCAAACAGTGAGTGTCCCATTAATAGGAAAGAGGTCAAGGGCGCAGAAGAGTGGGGCTAGATGAGAAGAAAATGGCAGGGCTTTCAAAAGAGTGACCAGAAAGGCAAGAGACATAGGAGCAGAAGGTCAAATACATACAGAAAAGAGTGGGGCCTGGAGGAAAGGGGATGAGGGAGGCAGAGTGTTCTAAGGACTGAGGCAGGGGAACATCAGCCTCTCTTAGAGAGCTGCTACTACAAGGATCAGAAGTCCCCAGGGGAACCTGGCACTCTAAAGGGGGAAAGTCAGAGGGCCTGGTCAGGTCGATCCCACTCCTCCTCCCAAGATGCCCCAAGGTCAGGATAGCCGTCCCTCACCAAGATAACCACTAGGTCTAGGATGTTCCAGATGCTACTGAGGTAGCGAAGCTCCAAGATCTCCTCCACCACATAGTTGAAGATGAAGATGCAGCAAATGATCTCACAGCCGACCATAAAGAAGTCCCAGTTGCTGACATGGCGGATCAGCTTCACTGTTCGGATCTGCCAGGATGGAATGGCGCCCGTCTGTGGCTGGAAACTCCACCATCACCCTGTGGATAGGAGGGGTGACGGTGGCTGGGAGGTGGTCTGGGACAATTCCTCCCACCTCTTCTCCCTACCCAGCCACGGGGATCCAAGGGGAAGGGAATCCGGAACCAGAGATGGAGGAATGCCAGGGGGAAGGGAGCCCACCTGAGAACACAGAAAAGATTGATGTTGGCGTAGTAGACTGAGAAGTCGATGAAGATCACCCGAGTACCCCCGTCCAGCCACAGCCCCTCCTGTAGGTCCCGGAGTGCCTCTGCGCTGGCCTGTCGAGATCCCACGAGGTCCAGATAGGAGTTGCCTCCACTGTGGTTGTGAGTTGGCCCCAGTGGGAGGAGCCTCCCAACTCGTCCTGCGAGTGGTAGGTCCATCTGCCACGGAAGAAGCAAAGAGAAGCCTCCATTAGCCCCAGAACTTGTCCCCTAAGGCAACGCCAGCACTCTATCTCCGAGCTTTACCCCTTCGGGTTATTTCAAGCTAGTGTCTTGTTTGCTACCAACAGCTCTTTGGGGAGGGAGGGTAACTGTCCCCCACAGTGTGCAAATGATGAAACTGGGCTCCGTGATAGCTGAGATTATCCAGCCAGCTAGTAGCAGGACTGACACTTAACAAAAACACCTCTCCTGCTGTTTCACTTTCCCAGCCCCGGCTATGAATGACAACAACCCCAAGCCCCACTCTTGACCACCGCGTGGGAAACATCTGGACCATATTCCCCACCAGAGACCCTCCTAGCTCTTGTGATTGGGCAGTTTTGACTCTTAACCCCATGATTCTTTGTTTTAGTGACTAATCTTTCTTCCAGGGACTTCTGTGCAGGGATGATGAGTCCAGCCATGACTCCTTGGGCAATGTCAAGGCTTGATTCATTGTCCAAACTGCCAAAGGTGGACAGAAATTCAAGTGCATGCTTGGCCAGATGGCGCCTCCAGTAGGGAAGTGTAACCCTTTGCCTTCTGGGTGGGAACATGTCTGGAGGCTATGGCTCTAGAGACACCTGCCCTGGTGATAAGTGACAAACTCCAAAGTGTCACAAGATCACAGATTGAACTCAAGGAGATGCCTACCCACCCCATCCCCAAAACTCCTTGAATGCCCCAAGGTTTTTATAAGGTTCCCCAAACTTTGTGGTTGGTGCCAGCCTGGAAACACATGCAAAGTTCCTATTGAAGTGGAGAGTTCTGTGCCTCAGTGGTCTGAGGTGGGACCTTGGAATTTGTCTTCAGTTTCTACAGACAAGTCCAATCGTGAGCTGGGTTTGGGAATCTGTGCTCTCTGGGTCTCCCTCAGATCGGGGGCCTCAGTGGGCTAAGCCTTGTGACATTAGAGGAAGCTCACTTACGCTGTGCCATTTGGGGGCCCAAAGGGGAGCTGCTCTTCCTTATCTGGAGAGTAGGCATCGTAGCAACTCAAAATGTCTTCGCGGAAGTCCTCATGGACCAGACAGGAGTCATTGCGGACCTCAGCTGCTGAAGCCTCGGAACTCCCAGGAGCAGGTTCTCATAGTAGATGAAGGAGTGAGAGTCCCGGCCCAGGCTCTGGTTGTTGTACCATTTGGTCCAATACAAACTGTCTAGGAGTGGGCCCTGGGCAAACTGGATCACCGGTTCGGTTGGCTCTGCCCACACCTGACCCTTCCCCTACCCTTAGAAGAACCTTTGCTCTGCTTCCCTGACTCCCAACTTATCCCCAGTCTGCTTCTGGTGGACCCTTCAACTGACCCATGCCTGCTGATCAAGTCCAAACCGGAACTGGTCCTCCCTGTCTTGAAAAGCCTGACCTCTAGCCACCCATCCTAGAGGAAGCCCTGGCCTGACTCCCTGTCCCTCACCTACCTCCACCTGAACTCTGACTGGCTCACTGTGGTTTGTCTGACCCTTTGATGCCACCTGCTCCCTGACTGACCTGATTTCTGTCATAGCATCTGATCCATTGTCTATTGTCTGACCTCCCTGAGCCTCAGGCCTCAGGTCAATGAGAAGGAGAGGGGAGAGGTGGGGGAGAGTTCATACTCACGTCCCAGAAGTCGGCCGTGCTGCTGATCTGGAAGGAGACACCGGTGTCGGATGGAGTGTGTAAGAAGAGATCTGATATCACCTTGGTGTAGTAATAGGCACTGGAGCTTGTCATTCCGTAAGTCACTGGAAACCAACCCCCAAATCGGTGTTCTGCTCAATGTCTCCAAAAAGACAGGAAACTCACTGGCCTCAGGGCCAAAGACACCCTCCAGACAGGAGCCCATCAGATCTGCTCACTAGGATTGGCTAGGGAGGCTGATGGCAACATTCATGACCAGAAAATGAATCAGGGAGGGTTGTAGTTACAGAAGCTTCTTCCTCCCACCCCACCCCATCCAACTCACCTTCGAAAGACTCAGTTATTGTTTCCTGACATTGTCATTCAGAACATTCCTTTTCCTACACCATTCTTACTTCCCATAAACCCACTGCCATCTATTCAGATTCTGATAGCAACCTTATTGGACAGAGTAGAATGGCTGCACAGGATTTCAGCGGCGATTTATCTTGACAGGAGCAGACAGCTTCCTCTTTCTCCCATGGAGTAGCTGCTGGGTTTGAACCACCATCCTTGTGGGTAGCGGCGCAATGCTTAACCTACTGTGACACTGGGGCTCCTTCTTATTCCCCATAGCTAAGAGTTTTCTTCTCTATGTATTAGATCGTATTTCCACTTATGTATCTGGTACCTGTGTCCTCTGGAAAGTGCTTCCAAACTCTAGTGTACTCCAAGACGGTGGTTACATAACCTCATGTCTGCTTGAGGATACTATGAGTGAAGGGATGGAGTCTAGCCTGTCAATCAGGTCAATGGTGCCTCTGCGTGGGTGTGGCCTTCTCATGAGGATTCTGGGAACTTCATCTCTTCCTCCCTGGAGATGGGACGCACTCTCTCTGTGCTACACATTCCCACTGACAAGCCACATGGAGCCAACGCTGATGGCAGCCAGGGTCCTGGAGCTGGAAGAGCCACGTGGAGATCCATACCAGGGGTGGGATGCTTCCACCGCCGCTGGATCCACCAGTGGCCTGTGATCCTCCTGCGTTGGGCATCATTGCATGTGCTGTATGAGTCTAAAGAGGAATTTATGGACTAGTATCAGACATATGGGCTAATATTAGACTTATGGACTTGATCTGGACTGGCCTGGGATTTTTCTCAATATACAATTGCCCTTTGATATAAAGCCCTCTTACACACGTATGAGTGTCTCTGGATGTGTTTCTCTAGTCAACCCGGTGGAAAACAAAGACTCTGGCCAAATACTTGACTATGGAGCTGTGGACTCCAGACTCCTGAAGTCAGTGATTTTGCAGCCATGGGAGTAGAGGGATGCCTGGTGCCCATTCAGCCCTGGCATGGCCAGCCCATCTGATGAGTATAGTTGTCTCCTGAGAAAGGGGCCCAGAACATCCCCAGATCAAAAACATCTGGCCATTGCCTTTCAATCACACACACACACACACACACACACACACACACACACACACACACACTCCCATGTGCCTAGCTAGGGCTGCCAAGGAAACTCTACGTTTTCAGGTTAAAAGCAAGGTTTGAGGGGAATAGGCCATTGATTTTACAGAAACCCAAATTAAACAAAAATATCAAATTGTGGAACTATTGTTTCTCAGCATATCCTCCCTATACACTTCTATACATATATGTCTATGTAATATTTTCTTGTGGGTTTTGGTGAAGGTTTACACAGCGGGTTGGCTTCCCATTCAGCAGTTTCTACCTAAATTACTCAACTCTTCACACCGTATGGACGTTCTCAATATTTTCCACCTGGTTGTTGCTCAATTACCTTCTTCTACTTCTTCTTCTTTTTTGGTACCTTAGGTACAGATTTAAGGAGCAGATCATCAGTTTTATATTCAAAGCTTCATACGCATTCCATTGCATCTCATTAATTGTCATTCATTTAGTATAACAATACCAGTCCCACTTCCTCCCTGTGTTTCTGTCTCCATCGCTCCTTCTTTCCTAACTCTCCTGAACATTGTCCTTGGGTAAACGCTGCCCCCTTGGTCCCAAATGATTGAGTGTGCTAAAGTGTGCACACATCAATGGTATGTATGCTCCCATTAGAGACCCGTTTGTTGTCTGACTGAAAACTAAGCCACAGGGGTAAGTTCAGTTTCAGACCCAAGAGTTGACCAAGAACCAGTGTCTATCTGACCAGTCTTTTAAATGAATCTGGGTTTTGTTATACATCTGTCTCTCATCCTATTCAGGACCTTCTAATTCAGTCCCTTTCGGAGCAGTTGGCAGCAAAAGCCTGGCACCATCTAGTTCCTCTGGTTTCAGAGTAAAGGAGAATAATGTTTGTGGAGTCCACTAATCCATTGGACTGGCTATTTCCATGTGTCTTCGATTTTTATCACTCTTCTGTCTCAAGACAGTAGGGGCCAATAGTTGCATCTGAGATGGCTGATCACAAGCTTTTAAGACTTCAGTTGCTACTCTAGGTCCATACATTTCTAACGGTAATGTTTCTTGGATTTACAACTTTCCCTCAAGCCAGCATTCTGAATTTGGGCTTCCAGCCTCCTAAGCTGTGGGAAAATAATTTTCTGTTTGTTACAGTCACCACTTGTTATGTTTGTTATGGGAGCAGCAGATAACTGAGACAGGGTTTGGAACCAGAAGATGAGGTGCTGCTCTAACAGATGCAAAAAGATTTAGAAGCAGTTGGAATTGGGTGGTGGGTAGAGGCTGGAGGAGTGTGAAGGTGCTCAATAGTAAAGGCCAGTAGGTCACATCATGATAAATGGAGAAAGGGTTGAAGTTGTCAAGGATTTTGTCTTGCTTGGATCCACAATCAATGCTCACGGTAGCAGCAGTCAAGAGATTAAAAGACATTTTGCATTAGATAAATCTACTACCCAAGACCTCTTTAGAGGATGCCAAATTGGGGACATTACTTTGAGGACTAGGGTGCACCTGACCCAAGCCAGAATATTTTCAACGGCCTCCTATACACGTGAAAGTTGGATATTGAATAACGAAGGCCGAGGAAGAAATAATGCATTTGAATTGTGGTGCTGAAGAAGAATACTGAAAGGGCCATGGACAAACGGACAAACCAATCTGCCTTGGAAGAAGTACGGTCAGAGTGCTCCATAGAGGCAGGGCTGGTGAGACATCATCTTACATATATTGGACATGTTGTCAGAAGGACATCGTGTTTGGTAAAGTGGAGGGACAGCAAAAAAGAGGAAGGTCTTCAAGGAGATGAATTGGCTGCCAAAAATGGGCTCAAGCATAGGAACAATTTTGAGGATGGAACCGTGTTTTGTTCTGTTGGGCTTAAGATCATTACGGGTCAGAACCGACCCGATGCACCTAACAACAACAAGAGTAAAAGCCTAGATTGCCTGGGAAAAACTCTTGGAATTCTGGATGTCAAAGACAGTTCTGGTGAGGGCTCAGAAGGAAGGGAGGAGAGCGACAGGGCGCATCAATTAGCTTCGAGGATAACTATGTGGCACCAGCAACAGAGAGTTGGATGTGGGCCTTAAACCTGCTTCTGGTAGAATTGCACATGAAAGGGTACTCTCCCACCGTGCACAGAGTGGGAGAGAAATGTGGAACAAACCTCAAAGTCATAAAAAGGACCAGACTGACTGGTGAGAGAGAGACAGGTGGGACCCCCCCAAGACTGTGACCCTCAGTCACCCTTCCGGTTAGGAAGCAAAGCTGAAGCGTAATTACCCCTTTGAGATCAGAGATGCAGCATCGACCCAAGGACAGAATCCAGCAGTTACAGGAGAGAAAGCAAGTCAGGGGCTGGCACCTGGAGAGGATCTACAAGGGCTGAGTGGAAGCAATGTGTGAATGAGCGGTCGATTGTAAAATTGATGATCTATTCGGTACACCTTCACCTAACTCACAGTACAAAGTAAAACAAAAACACATGTGCTTCTGGTGAGGCTTTAAAAGAAAACGATGGGCGTGGAATTGGATAATGGAGAAAGGACGCTGCTTTGTATGTATTGGCAATGACCTTGTCTGAATTATGGCCAAATCTTTGACGGAAGATAGAACTTGTAAGTCAGTGGTTCTCAACCTTCCTAATGCCTTGACCCTATAATACAATCCCTCATGTTGTGGTGACTCCCAACCATAAAATTATTTTCATTGCTACTTCATAACTTCATATTAATTTTGTTACTGTTCTGAATCGGGCCACCCCTGAGAAAGAGTCGTTTGACAACCTCCCAAAGGGGTCACGACCCACGGGTTGAGAACCGCTCCTCTAAAGCAAAAGCTTGATTAACATCTGACCTGGTGGAACGAACTCCAAATGCACTGAGTCAACCTTTTCATCCATTCAGAAGTTGACAAGACGTCCAGAATGAGGCTTGTCATCAATTGACATTTCACCTTTTTTGAAACAAGAAAAACACTTGTACACTTGAGTTTCTCCCATAGTGCTGTCCTTGTAAGACATGTTCAACATCACACAGTTTCCGGGCATTTTTCCCGAGCAGGAAACAAATTTTCACAGCCCTATGCTTTTCTCATAAATCAGCCATCACAAAAAATGAGGTTCGAGCGAAACTGATTTTATGAAAAATATTCACTGTGACCAGAGAGAACCTTCCCAGGGGACGCCATTGGGTGCACTAACTCAGAGCGAGTTGCTCAATGCTCGCCTAACAGGAACAATGCATACTATAAAAGCTCCGCTAATTCCAGTGTTTTGGGAGTAACCCCTCCGACCTTGAGCCATCTCTTTTGAGATATATTTTAAAAAGGAGATTAGACAATAATGAGGAGAGAGAGGGTCCGTTAGATGTCAAGATCGCTAGGGAACGAGGCAGCAGAAACTAAAGAGGAAGGATCTTCCTCCAGAGCCAACACTAAGATAAAATCTTCCCTTGAGCCGTCTCTGAAGCTAAACATCTGTCCTCTTGAGCTGTGAGCCCCGGTGGCATGGTGGTGATGTGTCGGACTGAGATCCGAAAGGTCACAGTTTCTCTGAAGGAGAAAAACAGGGTATTCTGCGCCCATAGGATTACAGTCTCAGAAACTCACAGTGGTCCCTCTATCCTGTCCCTTAGGGTGGCTATGAATTGGCATCCAGTGGCAACTTGTGAGAGTGTGGGTCGAG